TTTTTCTATGAAATTTCATATATGATTCATTAAAATATGATTAATTAGTTCTTGAGTTATAGACATTTGAAATTTTTGGAAATCATTATTAAAGATAATTTGCGATAGTTACAGCAACCACAGACATTTCTCAAACAAGGTGATCTTTACGTGTCCTTGAGGAAACTGTTCAAGGTCATATTTATATTACTATGTTATGCACTACTTAAAACCGTACAACTTTCATGTTTAACATTTTTCTCCATCTTACATATTTAAAAAGTTATTTAGAGTTACCTTATAAGGATACATACAGACATACATACATATATACATACACACATACATACATACATACATACCGAAATTTTTCTGAATGTGATTTTTGGACGTTTTGGAAGATTCTAAACATGTTTACAAAGAAAACTGGAAAAATATTTTTTGACGAAACAATTCAAAAGCACATAACTCCGAAAGTACCTAACGAAAATATAATGTATTATAGTGTTTTGGAAAGCTCTTGAGGTAAGCTATAAGAATATGCATTAAAAAAATGGGTTTTTTTCAAATTAAAATTAAAAATTTCAGGATGATCTTTACGTGACCTTGAGGAAGCTTTTTAAGGTCATATTTTTATTACTATGTAATGCAGTACTTGAAACCGTCCAACTTTGATGTTTACCTTTTTTTTCCATCATGTATATTTAAAAAGTTATTTAGAGTTACCTTATAAGGATACATACAGACATACATACATACACACATACACACATACATAACGACATTTTTTCTGAATGTGATTTTTGGACGTTTTGGAACATTCTAAACATGTTTTCAAAGAAAACTGGAAAAAAATTTTTTTCGCGAAAACAAAGCTTCCTCTATGAGGAAGCAAAATATGTTAATTCGCGACTGGCGTGGCTCTTATAAAATCTATATTCGCGAAAAATTAATAACGTCATAGGTGGCGTAACGTTCTGTCATGCAGTTCGCGGAAAGCTTGAAGAAAACGATGAAGCTCGGTGACACGCGCATTATGATTGATATTCCTTCGACTATGCCATAAAGCACAAGTATAAAAGAAAAGAACGTCCTGTTACTTGTTGAATTTTTAGCAGCAAATATTCAGAAACTTTCGCATTCGAAAGAAGAATTATTTCTCGACGATAACGAAAAAAGCTTTGATTTTTTAATAGCGACAGTCATGTATTTTCTTACTTCTTCTTTGTCTATAAATATTATATATCACTAAAATCACTTAAATGCAATTATTTAAACAGAGTTCAACTTTGTACGATATTTTTCGAAGATTTGCGATTTTTCTCTACTTTAAAAATGATTTTTTGTCAGTGGTGTTATTGCCATTTTGTACCTCTTTAAGCGCAGAAAATGAAAGTTAATCTTTAACATTTCAATAGCAAAAACATCAATTAATGTTAAATGAGATCGTAAAGGCTTTGAAACATGAACTTTGTTCAACTCATTATTTCAACTATTTCCTTGAACAATTTCTATTTAATCGTAGCCGCTGCGTCGGAAGTGCCTATGGTAACCGCAAAGTTGCTTTACCATCGCCTGTGGAATCGCCAAGTAAGATTGCGCCTTGGTCGAGGTCTGGATTTCATCCGAGAAGCGAGAAATTATTTTGAGAACAGGGCGGGAATAATTTTTCGATAAAAATGACACTTTTGCAATGAAAACATAGACATTTCAGAAATTCCGCATCCACGTACAGTTTCTTCTCTTGCGAACATAGCTCGTAATGTTAAAAAAATGGATAAAGTAAAAATACAAGCATAACTCATAAGGAAACATTAGTTAACTCCATTATTTTATTATAAAGTAAGGCAAACGTAAATGCGTAAAAGGTTGGTGTAGTTGCATTGATTATTTCCAGATTAATTTATATTTAGACACGAATTGTTAATATATTGTTAATATATTATATGAATATATCACATGTCTACGCGCATTAATTTAATTCAAATTATGATCAAAACTTGCGAGCATTGATGCTCGAGTATGTATCGATTTCACATATCGATTTGTGTGCTTATGGTAAAATACTACTATACGTTCGCATCAATAAGAAGAGAAGAGATAGACATTCTCGACTTCAGCCTCGGCTGACGAGTGCAGTGGTAATAATAATTACCGTAATAATCCGTAACGGGTATTCTCGCCGCTGAAATCCCATTGTACTTAGAAAACGTTACGGTTGCCACGAGTATTAGCTTACGCTAACGGCGAGGACTCAGAAGGTCGCGGTTTGCGAATAACTCACCTCCTTTTATTACCAAGATCAGTGCGAAACACTTTACAAAGGCGCGGTTGAGATATTGGTGAATATAGAGTGTATATAACATCTCGAGGGTCATATCAAATATCGTGGATGAATAAGAACTTAAGCCTAGAGAGAGGTATCGTGCTTTTGCTCACGGCGTTTCTTATTAGCAGCAAGAAGTAAAAATCGAAAGTTCCTGGTTTATTATTTTTTTATGCATTCACAAGTATATTTAATAATCATGACGGTACAAAACAATGTTAGACGACATTATTACGAAAAAATTGAAATTATGGTAAACAAAATGCAGAGAAAATAAAATAATTGGAAATTAACGAGAAGCTGTAACCAATTTTTACTTCAGTCTGACAAATATATAATTGTTCCAGACCGCATTGCACACCGGAGTTGGCGCCCAGCAGCAGCTATTGGAGCCCAGAATGGCGCAATTGGAGACCCTAGAGGCTAAGGTAATGTTGGAAATGGAAAATTCTTAAATCCCTCAATTTTCCTAGAAATTAGGGCATTCATTGCCAAATTGTTGCCACTGGGATTCCAATTATATCCCAAGGTGAAATGGCACGCAAGGACTCACGCGATGGAAAGTTATCCTGAGTCTGTGGCACCCTCCTGGTCCTCGATATTCTTTTTGCTTTTGTTTCCCCCGTGCCTGCCGGCAGTACCGACCGTCCTGTGGGAGCTGTTTTTACTGGTACCCTCGGAAGAAACCGAAGGCAATGTTTCGCGGTTATTGGCGGGTCGGCATTATAGCCCGCTGGTTTCTTAAGCCTGTCCGGCCAATGATTTATATGCAGATGCGTGAACCCCGTTTGGTCCAGAGGTCCTCGAAGCCAAACTCGATGGTCAGTTGGGGGAGGGGAAAGAGAGGAAGACGGCGAAGAGAGACTAGAGACTCCTCCTGCTCGCATCGGTACCATTAAAAATGCCCCGGCGCAGACGCCCAGTGGCGCAGCATCCGCAAGAATCGTTTGGTTTTTTCGAAACGTTTTAACAAGAACGTTAGATTGAGCGCGCAGCGCTCGCGAGCTCGTTTTTCGTCAACGACGCTTTTACCTTTTTTCCTCTTTTCGCTTTTTTTTTGTACGTCGTTTAAGTCGTCGGATTCCTCGCGCCTGATTGCAGGGAAGGGCAGGTTGAAATTGAAAATTATGCGGACGGCGACGCGCTATTATATGCCCCACGACTACCACGCGTTTTTCATAAACTACGAAACGGCAGCGCTTCGCTCCTGCAAAGTACAGGAAGCTTTCTTTATAGGCTCCGCTAATATCGCGGTCGAAAGTAAAAGTAAAGCCCGCAAAAACTCGTTTAAACCAGGCATATAGGCGGAACAAACGTGGGGTTGATTGAGGAGAGATGTAAATTTAAAAAGATTTCGTGTTACGAAATTATTTAAAGTTGCAAATACGCGTGCCCAAGTAAAACAAAAAGTCATTTAAAAACCAAGATGATATCAAAAAGTAATCATTTCTAGAAAGTCAAGACGATATTGTTTAACGGTTTTAATTAAACATGTTTTGACTTTTCGATCACTCTCACTGAGAGAACGCAAATTGCTCGTGCATGCAAAATGATTAAAATCTCACAGTTATTATTACATTTTACGAATTCATGTAAACTTGATTTCTGAAGCGTTGATATCCTTTTTACATTCAAGATATAAAAGCTAAGCATACAAGTCTTACAAAATATTGAATATTGCACTCATACAAATTATATTCTTATCGTAATAGTGTAATCGGTAATTATGCAT